TAAATTCTCCTGCTTCTGACATTCGCTGCGATACCAATGTGTGCGTTATTTGTTCTTTGCACCTCTAGTAGGACCCAGAAACAATATTGTGAATTTCCCATCCTACCTAAAACACAACGACACCGGTACTGACACTGACCCTGACATTAACATTGACAGTAACCCTGACCCAGATACTAACACTGACCCTAATGCTGACACTAACATTGACACTAACCCTGACAGTAACGTTGACCCTGACATTAATACAGAACCTGACACTAACTCTAACACTACTACCGACCCCGACAGTAACGCCGATACTGACTCTGACACTAATGCGGACCCTGGCACACTAATACTGACCCTGACACTACCACTAATACTAACTCCGACACTAACACTGACCCTGACAGTAACGCTGATACTGACACTAACCCCGACACCAAAACTGATCCTGACACTAACAATAACCCTCAAACTGACACTAACCCTGACACTATTGCTGACCCTCACACTAACACTGGTATCATACACAAGTTCCATGTTTTTCCCCCATAAAATACAGACCCAGACATTAACGCTGACACTGAAGCTGACACTAATACTAACCCTGACACTAACACTGACAGTAACGCTGACCCTGACAATAACACTGACCCTGACAATAACACTGACCCTGGCACTAACACTGACCCTGGCACTAACACTGACCCTGGCACTAACACTGACCCTGGCACTAACACTGACCCTGACACAAGCAAACCCCCTACTAGAGAAAATTATACGGTAGGAGGGGGCAGAGACAAAATCAGTCACCCTGCACAAGGAGAGAGACCAGTAGTGACCGGTCTTTATTACAGGAGGGGGCGGAGACAAGACCAGTCACCCTGCACAAGGAGAGAGAGCAGTAGTGAGTGGTCATTATTACAGGAAGCTCCAAGGTTCACACTTTATTACTGCACAGATCAGGAAGAAATACACAAAGCTCACCAAGATCCAAGTTAAGAATACACATGACTCTTGTATGAGGACGATATTTTCTTATCCCGGAGTTCAGCTTTGAAGACTGAAAACAACTTTTGAAATGACATTGACATGTTGGAGCTTCTATGAGACTTAAGTGAGGAGCTTTAGATCTACTTCTGACACATAATTTCCTTTTTACAGACACACCTCGGGCCTCATCCACACACACATCTTTCCTGTACAGGTCTCAAAGAATTGTTCTCACAGGAAAAAATGTGTCTCATCAGTAAAATGGCGGCAGATGAAGAGAAGAGACACAAATCTCTCTGGCCCGGCGCCAGCCAGACATCGGAAAAGTTGCATCGCTTCTTCCAGTCAGCGGCAATGGAGATAAGGGCCCCGGTGACATCAGCTGCTGTTTGCACGTTAAGTGGCCTTCTTGTTCTTCAAACACTGGCCTCATGGCTGCCGAGGAGGTATAAATAACCCGATGACAGGAAGCATCAGCATACACAAGGAGAGAGCTGTCACACAAAACATAAAACCACACACACCACTCATATCCTAATATATCAACAGCCCATGTCAATGGACCCCCATATGTTATTTACTTCTCCCTAAAGAGGACCTTCCACCTCTGCTTCACCATTGCATAACATTACTCTGTACCCAATCCATTGACATCTTATTGCAATGGCACCTGGAAGTGGGTGGGATATATAACAATGGCACCTGGAAGTGGGGGGGGATGTATATTAGGCATATATTAAGTGAACACGGGGGCCAAAGGAAGCCAAGTGAATAACTGAGCCAAAGTGATGGGAGCCGAACGTCATTCGGCTACTCACTTCAGCTGAACTTCGGCTGGCTGGGTAGACGACAGGGTCAGAGTAACTCCAAAACTGCAGCTCTTGTGGGATGTTCCCGGTCTGCCGTGGTCAGGACCGACCAAAAGTGGTCCAAGGAAGGAAAACCAGATCTTCTCATCCAAAATCAGTACCTGACCTCATAAAATGTTCTTTAATTGAATGGCCACAAATTTGAACAGACACACTCTAAAATCTTGTATAAATTCTTCCCAGAAGAGTGAAAGCTGTCATTGCCGCAAAGGGGGGGGCTTACCCCATATACACTATATTGCCAAAAGTATTGGGGCGCCGGCCTTAACACGCACATGAACTTTGATGGCATCCCAGTCTTAGTCCGTAGGGTCCGATATTGAGTTGGCTCCGCCCTTTGCCGCTATAACAGCTTCAATTCTTCTGGGAAGGCGTCCGCAAGCTTTAGCAGTGTGTCTATGGGAATGTTGGACCATTTGCGAGGTCAGGTACTGATGTTGGAGGAGAAGGCCGGGCTCGCAGTCTCCGCTCTGATTCATCCCAAAGGTGTTCTATCGGGTTGAGGTCAGGACTCTGTGCAGGCCAGTCAAGTTCCTCCACCCCAAACTCCACCATCCATGTCTTTATGGACCTTGCTTTGTGCACTGGTGCGCAGTCATGTTGGAACAGGAAGGGGCCATCACCAAACTCTTCCCACAAAGTTGGGAGCATGAAATAGTCCAAAATGTCTTGGTATGCTGATGCCTTAAGAGTTCCCTTCACTGGAACTAAGGGGCCAAGCCCAACCCCTGAAAAACAACACCTCCCCCCATAATCCCCCCTCCACCAAACTTTACAATTGGCACAATGCAGTCAGGCAGGTACCGGTCTCCTGGAAGCCGCCAAACCCAGACACGTCCATCGGATTGCCAGACAGAGAAGCGTGATTGGTCACTCCAGAGAACACGTCTCCACCTCTCTAGAGTCCAGTGGCGGCGTGCTTTACAACCCTGCATGTGACGCTTTGCATTGCACTTGGTGATGTAAGGCTTGGATGCAGCTGCTTAGCCATGGAAACCCATTCCATGAAGCTCTCTACACACTGTTGTTGTGCCAATCTGAAGGCCACACCAAGTTTGGAGGTCTGTAGCTATTGGCTCTGCAGACAGTTGGCGACTTCTGTGCACTGTGCGCTTCAGCATGCGCTGACCCTGCTCTGTCATTTTACGTGGCCTACCACTTCATGGCTGGGATGCTGTGTCTCCAAGTTGCTTCAACTTTGTTATAATATCACTAACAGGTGAGCGCGGAATATTTAGCAGCCAGGAAATGTCACGGAACACCTGAATCCAATGATTTGGAGGGGTGTCCCAATACTTTTGGCAATATAGTGTATATGGCCATGGTTTTGGAATGCAATATCCACAGAGCAGTGATCTGCACAGAGCAGTGATCTCATACCTACTGAACACCTTTGGTATGTACTGGAATGCAGATGGTGAGCCAAGTCTTCTCGTCCAACATCAGTACCGTATCCCAAAGATTTGGCCACATGAGCATACATTTCCAGTGAGACCTCAAAATCTTATATAAACTCATCAAACCATGTCTTTATGAAGTTGCCTTTGTGCACAGGGACATGGTCACATTGGAACAGATAAAGGTCTCCCCCAAACTGTTGTCTAAATGGTCTTTGTATATTATTGTTTGGCAATGGAGACTGAATGGCTATATGCTTGATTTGTGTCCACAAATGTTTGCCCATACAGTATACATATATCACCATTCCAAACCTTTGTGTTTTTGTAAAGTTTGCAAGTCAACCAATTCATGGTACTACTCCTTATAGTGTGAACTAAGCATGGAGTTCGGTCTCAACTTGAGCTTGTCCAAACCCAGTATGAAGCTGTAAGTACTGGCCCCATCAGTTGAGACCGAGGCATTCCTCGCTTGGCAGCTGCACGTAAATAAAAGGAGCAGGATGTTGGTGACATCACTTGTCCCTTTATGGCCACATGACATTGACCTAATATGACTATATAAGGATAATGATGTCACCAGCATCCTGCCCCTTTGTTTAGGCACAACTGCAGGGAGGTGAATGCCCTGGCTGCAGCTGATCGCACCTGCACTGACCGATTCCTTGCAGGTTTGTACAGAACCCGAGCTCATCCTTCCTCAAACACCTCATCAGGTACACATCTTCAAAGTGTCATATATAACATACCTTGGAGCTGAACATCTGCTTGAAACCCTATAACCCTAACCCTATACTGTAAACCTTGCTCACATCAGACATACATAGATAGAATGCCATCCTCCGTGCCATATAATGCATGCTGAACCTGAGCCACTGCTCAAGCAGTCTTTCCGTCCTACCTAAGTAGCGCAAGCTACAGAAACATGTGCATTTTAGTTATCAGAGAGTTCATTTGTTGCACACAGTGTCATACTATGTAGTGGGAGCAGGATGAGGATGACAAACCCTGAGCCTGCATGTCAACAATGGCATCTCCCATATTTCCATCCTGCCATATAAGCCTTAGTAGTCAGGGCAAATATAGTTTTCATTATATTCACGTCTTGCCCGTTGTGATTCATATATGCTATACTGCCAAAAGTATTGGGACGCCTTTACACGCACATGAACTTTAATGGCATCCCAGGATGTAGCTGCTCGGCCATGGAAACCCATTCCATGAAGCTCTCTACGCACTGTTGTTGTGCCAATCTGAAGGTTTGGAGGTCTGTAGCTATTGACTCTGCATACAGTTGGCGACTTCTGCGCACTGTGCGCTTCAGCATGCGCTGACCCCGCTCTGTCATTGTACGTGGCCTACCACTTCGTGGCTGAGTTGCTGTTGTTCCCAGTTGCTTCCACTTTGTTATAAAACCACTAACAGCGGAATATTCAGTAGCAAGGAGATTTCACGGAACACCCGAATCCAATGATTTGGAGGGGTGTCCCAATACTTTTGGCAATAAAGTGTATATAAAAAACAGGAGGGAGGTGACCATAAACCAACAATAAAAGAGCAGCCAATCAGATACCTGTTCACTGACAGCTGGCTCTGCCTATCTAGAGGCAGAGCCAGCTGTACCCGCCCCCTCCCACGATCTACTGAGCCGACCTGTGACAGTCTCTTTGTCACAGGTCGGCTAGAACTATGAGGTGAGTGAAAAGCACTCCCCTCATAGTTCTGCTTTAACAAGCGCTCTTCATGTTACACTGACCTGCCAGGACACTGATATTTCCCTCCTCCAAAGGCTATAAACCCGGCCAGAAATACATTCTTCTCTAGAGTCGCCTCCGTCCAGCGTTCCTGTGGGAAGAAAGCACAGTTTTTCCAACGAGGCCTTAAGTAAATAATCACAACTTTCCCTTCCTAGATATGAAATGACGGCCCTCGGGGCAGCAGGTCCCGACTAAAAATGGTCACTGAGGTTTTTTTTCTCTTTTTTCTGTTTTAGCAGCAAGTTCCTTATAATGAAGCGCTTTCCCTTCCCATAAATGACTTTGTATTCACTTGCAATGTGCCTCCGGAAAGTGTCAGTTCCCCAGCACAGCCCTCCTTGGACGTTCTAGCACTCTTCTCTGGTAATCAAGCCCAATGTACGTTCGGAGTAAGCAGGGCTCTACTATTCACACCCTCCACCGTCACTTGTTTCTACAATGCTATCGGCCCACAGGGTCATTGTTTCCCAGGACGCTGTTGACCCACAGCTTTATCAGTGGCTAGGATGCTGTCAGCCCACAGCGCCATTGGTTGCTAGAGTGCCATCAGCCCACAGTGTAACTAGCTGCTAGAGAGCCATTGGCCCACAGTGTCATTGGTTGCTAGAGTGCCATCAGCCTACAGTGTCATTGGTTGGTAGAGTGCCATTGGCCCACAGTGTCATTGGTTGCTAGAGTGCCATTGGCCCACAGAGTCATTGGTTGCTAGAGTGCCATTGGCCCACAGTGTCATTGGTTGCTAGACTGCCATCAGCCCACAGTGTCATTGGCTGCTAGAGTGCAATTGGCCCACAATTGCACTCTAGCAGTTGCTAAAGAGGCATTGGCCCACAGTGTCATTGGTTGTTAGGCCCCGTTCACATTGAGCGATTTATCGCGCGGTAATTCCCACGATATCGCGGCTATTTACCGCGCAATATCGCTCTTCAATGCTTTGCAATGGGGCAAAGGGTCCTGCTGTCGCGGGTCGTGTGTCGCTACAGCAGGACCCTTTTTGGAGCGGATTTTGCCTCGATTCAATGCTTTTCGATGCAAGCATTTGCGCGATAACGCGCAAAATGCAAATTGCGCGACAAACGCGTGATTTGCGAATCGCTCAATGTGAACGGGGCCTTAGAGAGCCATTGGCCCACAATGTCACTGGTTGCCAGGGTGCCATCAGCCCACAGTGTCATCGGTTGCTAGAGTGATTTCTGCCCACAGTGTCATCGGTTGCTAGAGTGTTATGCACTAAGGATAGAGTGTTCGCGGTATGGCCACTTTGATTCCAGTGCTGCCCCTCCTCAGGCACCTGCATTTGTTGTGCAGAGGTGCGACACTCTTTATAAATTCAAGGGTGTGGGTTTATAATGCACTTGGTATACGCCGAACACTTACACAGGGGTTTATTTGGCCATAAGTTTGTAATTGAAGCGCCGCAAGCAGAACATAGAAAGTCCAGATTGAATTTATATTCAGACTCCGACCAACACGTTTCAGGGATTTCAAAGGGCCTCCCTTCATCAGGGCTTGTACTGTTCAATGAACTGTGTACTGGGCTGATAAAACTGTAGGGATCCTGATGGGTAATGAGTATAATTGCTCCAGATGCTGGTTAAAAGGAGAACTATGGGGTTAGGGCTTTTTCTCTCTTTAAGGTACCGGGAGGAAACAAACTAGCGTCCTCCCGTCACCCTAAGCTCAGTATACCGCAAGCTACAGCTCGCAGTATACTGAGACGCAGCAGCCGGAACGGATCCCGACAATTATATCTGGATCCGCCCAGCTCCGTGAGTGACAGCTGGCTCTGCCTATCTAGAGGCAGAGCCAGCTGTACCCGCCCCTCCCCCATCCGTTTCCGCCAGTAGTTGGTTTTTTTATGACATAAGAGTCTGAATAAAATTAAATCTGGACTTACTATACATTCTGCTTTGGGTTCTTTCCTTCCTCTACACCAAATCTCATCAATAAAAACTTGACTTCCTAGCCCTATCCTGATCTACTAAAACGTGTTTTTATTGCTGTGTGTTCTTGTTGGAGATTTGGAATATCCTGGCGACCATGTTGTCACTGGAAGAGAAAGTGATAGGAAATCGCCCCAACAAGACCACAGAGAGCAGTGTCTATGGGAAAATGCAGCATGCATTTCATCAGTTTGAGATCCTTCTTTGTTCTTAGATGCATCTGAGCTGCAGCTGACCTTCTCCTTAGCTGCAGCTGACCATCTCCTACGCTGCAGTTGACCGCCTCCTAAACTGCGGTTGAACTCCTTAGCTGCATTTGACCTCCTGCTAAGCTACAGCTGACCTCCTAAACTGCTGTTGACCTTCTCCTAAGCTGCAGTTGACCTCTTTCTAATCTGCAGTTGACCTCCTCTTAAGTTGCATTTGACCTTCTCCTAAGCTGCATTGACCTTCTCCTAAGCTGCACTTGACCTCCTGCTAAGCTACAGCTGACCATCTCCTACGCTGCAGTTGACCTCCTCCTAAGCTGCATTTAACCTCCTGCTATGCTACATCTGACCTCTAAACTGCTATTGGTCTTGTACTAAGCTGCACTTGACCGTCTACTAAGCTACAGTTGACCTTCTCTTAAGCTACAGTTGACCTTCTCTTAAGCTGCAGTTGACCCTCTCTTAAGCTACAGTTGACCTTCTCTGAAGCTGTAGTTGACCTTCTCCGAAGCTGTAGTTGACCTTCTCTGAAGCTGCAGTTGACCTCCTCCTAAGTCACAGTTGACCTCCTCCTAAGCAACATCAACCTGCTTCAAGCTACCTTTGCATTTCCACTGACTTATTTGAAGAGCAAACAGTTCCAATGAGCACAAACGCCTGTCTACAAAGGCCCTAACACTAGGAGCTTGCTGACAGGAGGAGAGAGAGCACACGGAGGACCTCAGCAGTGTTCTGTTGCTCCTTCATTGCCTAATCCACAGCCTGGGATGTAGAGCTGACCAAGCTGTACTGGGTAAGTGAATCAGGAGAGGAGCTTAACAGAACTGAAAATCCTTTGACAGGGTAAACAGTTCACATTGATATATTTTAACTGTGATTCAGCTGCCGAGTGGAGTTCAGCTCTGCACGTCCTTAAAAGTGTCTGCATAGGAAAGCAACCTCAGATAAGTGCCCCGAGATGCCCGTTTGGTAACTTACTGGTTTAAACGTTTCAGGTTCAGGAAAACATTTGGGTTCCCGATGAACCCAATACGGAGACAACATCAGCAGGTCCCCGGGAGGAATCTCGTAATTCTGTAGAAAGGAGAAAAAGAAGCAATGGGTCAGGCAAAGCTTCAACCTGTGATTTAGAGTCAAAGCATATGGCCAGTGGTGGACGGGGAGGCCGACGACTCATTTTATTGGCCGCACTGCACAGATGTGGATACAAAGGACAAAAACTGAAGACAGCGAATAATGATAAAGCTCCGTGCTCTCTTTTCAGTGTGCTTAGCTGATCGCCTGAAGTTCAGCTTTACAGCGAAGCGCTGTGCTTTACCCTACGCAAGGCAACAGGTTCCCTTATACCCCCCTCCTCCCCTACGCAGCAGCACATACTCATCTTCCCTTTGCTTTTAGCTCTGAGTCACTCAAGTGGTAACTTACACAGGCCTATGGCCGCTCTCCAAGCTCTCCCGGATCTGCCCATGTCTCCTGTGTGTACAGCCCCCACGTGATCGGCCTTCAGCCTACTACTGCGCATGCGCAGACTGCCCAGGGCTCTCATTCAGAAATCCTGTGCATGCTCAGTAGCAGGCTGAGGGCCAATCACGTGGGCGCTGTACACACAGGAGACGTAGGCAGATTCTGGAGAGCGGTGTCTGCCCAGCTGATGACTTCTGCTAAGGATCTATGTGAGGGGAATGATTTGTCTGCAGGGTGGGGGTTGTGTCACCATATTATCAGATCTGTTTGCCCGGCTCGCCACTGATTGGCTGGGAAGCCGGCTTTCCGGCCAATCAGGATCGAGCCGGGACAAACAGCATAGAGCCAGCTTCCCGGCTCCATGTTCCCTCGCGGCACTGCCGGTCAGAGGAAATCTCCCTCTGACCGGAAGTTCAAGTATCGGGGGTAAGTATCGGAGCATTTGGGTGTGTACGAGTACTCGCCCAAATACTCGGTATCGACACCAATACCGATACTAGTATCGGTGCATTCCTAGTTGTTGCACTATACGGAAGGTTGGAATCACTTACATAAACTTTCAAAGGTTTTACCACTTTCCGGGTAATAGCTCCCGGTGACCTCAGGCGTATGGCCTCCAGGACGCAGGATTTCACAAACAGGAGTTTCTTCAGATCTGCTGCGGTAATATATAAGTGATCCTGACCTGTCCAAAGAGAGACAAAGACAATATACGGGATGGAAATTAAAGAAATTCATTGGGGGGAATTTATCAAAACTGGAGCAGACAAAATCTGGAGCAGCTGTGCATGGCAACCAATCCGCTTCTCTCTTCAGTTTGTTCAATTAAGAAAATGAAAGAGAGAAGCTGATTGGCTGCCATGCACAGCTGCTCCAGGTTTTGTTTGCTCCAGTTTTGATAAATTCCCCTCATTGTGTTTTGGTAGAAAGTTCTATTTAATCATCAGCAACAGGAAACAAATGAGGAGAACATTAAGAGCGCTGTTCACAGAAGGGTGAAGAGTTTGGAGAAGTGAACAATCTAGGACGACATAGCTGAACTGGAAAGTGAGCCGAATTGGAGAATGTTTCCAAATCAGCCATTTTGTCCTAGATTGTTCTCTTCTCCTGCCTTCTCCAAACTCTTCACCCTTTTGTGAATAACCCTGTAAATGTTTTAATTCATCAACTCAAAGAACAGTGGTGGCATACAAGGTGAATTAAAGCAATGTTAAACCCTTGAAACAAAAATCCTGCTGTCCATTTAGCTCCATGTACTGTACCTAATGTTTTTCCCCATCATTTTGGACCAAGAACCCATCCTGCCTTTCCAAAAAAACGTCACCACCTGGATTTAGCTAAGCAGATAGATCAGAGCCTTCCATTGGATAATAGGTCTTGGTTCAGCAACGTCATGTCCCCAAAAAATGAAGTCAGCTGCCGACCTGAATATACGGAATGATCAGGTTTTTCCATCAATGGATTTTTTTCTTCCCTTAGGGCACATTGGGCATATTCCAAGATGGCAATGCCAGGATCCATCGGGCTCAGATTGTGAAAGAGTGGTTCAGGGAGCATGAGACATCATTGTCACACATGGATTGGCCACCACAGAGTCCAGACCTTAACCCCATTGAGAATCTTTGGGATGTGCTGGAGAAGACTTTACACCGTGGCCCGACCTTCCCATCATCACTACAAGATCCTGGTGAAAAATAAATTTAACTCTGGATGGAAATAAACATTGTGACATTGTATAAGCTTATCGATGCCAGGACAAATGCGTGCCATAATCAAAGCTAAAGGCCGTCCAATGACATATAAGAATGGGACTTTTCGGACAGCCCGTGTGTATTTTTCTTTTCAGAAGATCTGTGTGCTGTGTGCCTCTTCACTGCGCTTTCCCAACTTCCAGTTGGAGAGAACACGCTTTACAAATGGGTAGGATCTGAAACAACGGGGCTACATGTCCCATGATTCCTGGCTTGCTGAACAACATTGTGCGCATGTGACCCCTAAGCACGTCTACTTGCAGTCCAAGAACATAGTGCGCATGTCTCCTCCAAGATCCAGTTTCCATGCAGCTCGTAAGCATATTGCCCATGTGAGCCCTAAGCACATCTCCTCGCAGACCCCGTCTTCTCGTGGTCAGCGAACATAGTTCACATGTCAGCCCCAAGGATGTCTCTTTAAAAGCTTAAGGGCTTGTTCACATGATGTCCAGATTCTGTCTGGACCAGAACAGTTCCCTCCTGCCCTAAAAATGCATAGCAATGTATCCCTATGTGTTTTATGGGCTCCAGTTCTCACCAGCGCAGTCCGTTCCGTACAGAAAAAAAATTGCATGTCACATTTTCTCCGGTCCGGAAACGCAATGAAAACGCGCCGAAACTGACTGACATACTGGCAGCCCCACTCCAAAAAAAAAAAAAAAGGAACTGTAACGCATCTGGAACAGGTAAAACGCACTGCACGCATAGCACCGCGTCTGCAGATCTGCACCAGATCTGGACCAGAAAATGGTGTGAACAAGCCCTAAGAACATACTTTGCATGCATTCCCTAAGCATGTCACCTTGCAGGCTTGAGAAAAATGTGCATGCAAGCCCTAAGCATGTCACCTTGCAGGCTTGAGAACATAGTGCACATGTGAGCCCTAAGCATGTCTCCTTGCAGACTTGAGAACATAGTGCACATGTGAGCCCTAAGCATGTCACCTTGCAGGCTTGAGAACATAGTGCACATGTGAGCCCTAAGCATGTCTCCTTGCAGACTTGAGAATAGTGTGCATGCATGCCCTAAGCATGTTTCCTTGCAGCCCCAAACATCTTGCACATTTGTGCCCTAAGCATGTTTCCTCTCAGCCTATGAACATATTGCACATAAAAGCCCTAAGCACTGCAGCCCCTGTCTACTCTCAGCCTGAGAACATAGTGTGCATGCATGCCCTAAGCATGTTTCCTTGCAGCCACAAACACATTGCACATTTGTGCCCTAAGCATGTCTCCTCGCAGCCCCAGTCTCCTCTCCTCCTGAGAACATAGTGTGCATGCATATCCTAAGCATGTCTCCTCTCAGCCTATGAACATATTGCACATAAAAGCCCTAAGCACTGCAGCCCCTGTCTACTCTCAGCCTGAGAACATAGTGTGCATGCATGCCCTAAGCATGTTTCCTTGCAGCCACAAACACATTGCACATTTGTGCCCTAAGCATGTCTCCTCGCAGCCCCAGTCTCCTCTCCTCCTGAGAACATAGTGTGCATGCATATCCTAAGCATGTCTCCTCGCAGCCCCAGTCTCCTCTCCTCCTGAGAACATAGTGTGCATGCATATCCTAAGCATGTCTCCTCGCAGCCTCTGAACATATTGCACATAAAAGCCCTAAGCACTGCAGCCCCAGTATACTCTCAGCCTGAGAACATAGTGTGCATGCATGCTCTAAGCATGTCTCTTTGCAGCCCCTGTCTCCTTGCAGCCTGAGAACATATTGCGTAAATATGAGCCCTAAGCACATCTATTTGCAGCCAGAGAACATAGTGCCCATGCAAGTACTAAGCAAGTCTCATTCAGCCATAGTCTTGCTGCCTGAGGGCATAGTGTGTATGCATGCATTGCATTTTTAACTTAACTTTATTGCTATCACAATATGGTGATAACCCCCCATGTGATAGCATAGTGTAGATGACAGGTACTATTTAAGGAGATATCAGGTGTCTCTTAGACTCCCTAGTGCCACCTCTGCACTCTGTTGAAGCTGATCGAGCAAAGATTGTGCTCAGCGAGCTTCCTCCCCAGCCAGAGCAGCCGTGGTTTGACATCCCTGAACCCAGAGGTTCTCAGAGCCGATCACTTCCAGGTTCATGATACCAAAGAGAGATCAGCAAACGCTCTCCATCCTTACACTCGCCATGGAGGTCTCAGACACCCAGGAGGGAAAGGTGAGCTTGGGATATAACAAAATGCTTCCATTGGTATATTTAACAGACTAAAAGGGAGGAAATAAGAAGTTCATTGTTGGGGTCTACATACACTTTTAGGTTTCAAGCTTCGGAAGCCATAACGGAGACATAGACGGGGCTCTGCGTACTGAAGGCCGCTCTTCTCACTGCTCTTATGACAGTATAACATTGTTTTTGGCAATATTTGCCATTTCATCTTTCATTAGCGATGTGTCGAAGAATTGACATAATTGAAAGATTAAAAAGTAACCGGCGTTCCCGCAGTGTGATGAAAGAGCGTCTAAGTTCCCCGGAACGCATGGAACAAATTTTTTCCTAACAGCATCAAGTCTTATCCTGGCAGGGCAGGTATTCTTCTCATTCCAAATAGCACAATTGTTCTCTCCTATAAACAGGCGCAAATCCTCCCCGATAAAGGGGAATCTCGAAGTCATGATCAACATTCCACGGGGACAAATAAACCTTTCGTCCACATACAGGGAAACGGACAGGTCAGCTGAGGAGAACCTCTGCCATCTGGTGGTCAATACTGGAATTGCAGTTCACTTTGCAGCAACACAGTTCTTTATTGGCATTGACTGTTACATTTGTAGGAAAAGCTTTAGGGGCTTATCACCTTCTTCTAATGCCCAAGCAGGGGGTAGGCCTTGAAAACATGTCCTAAAAATGTAACTGTTAATGCCAATTAAGAATGGATCATGGACTGTAGTTATAGAAGAACTCCAGCTATGTAAAAATGTATCCTTTGCAGTGGGGCTACCTGTGCATTGCAAGGGTTAACTGCTCATTTTTCTCTAGAGGCCAGAATACAGAAGATATACTCACCTGATCCTTGGTCCTGTAGCGGAAAGTACTCATCTCTCTCCCCCTTCACTCTTGGCTATGACCAATGTCCCTTGGCGTCCTCACATCTAATGCAAGTGAATAGACCTCGCATATATATGTGATGAGTCCGGAGAAGAAGACACTGCAAGGACCAGTCTAGCAGCCAGATGAGACTGACATTTAGGGGAGTGTACTTTCTTTATTTTAGCCCCTCGAACAAAACGAGCAGTTAAGCCTTGCAGAGCGGGGATAGCCTCACTATAAGGGTTCACTTTTGAAAATCCCAGAGTTCCTCTTTAAAGCCAAACTCTGGACAGTTTCAAATAAATAATCAGTAGGGGAGGATTAGGTCTGATCATCCAGGTTGCCTCCAGCATCCTCAAAATGAGTTTCTTCTCGCTCCCTCCCTACCTCAGTGCTGCAGTTGCTTCCCCAACCCGTTTCTCCTGGCCAATCACAAAGCAAAGGGCCCCAGGCTCCATTTTGTGCCTGGCCAAGAGGAGAGGGGGGTTTAGCAGCACCTGCCTCCCAAGCAGCCCGAAGTATAGGGGGAGCGAGAATAAACCAATTTCGAGGATGCTGGATGATCGGACCTGTGAAGGTCTGTCTATCCCCACTACTGATTATATATTTAAAAACTGTCCTTCTGTCCAGAGTTTGGCTTTAATTACACTTTTGCCCCTGGTGACCTCATGCTTGTAGACATTACAGACTTCCTTACCTCCTTCACCAAATACAGAAGTAATTTCACTCATGGCCTTCCTGTAAACCTCTGGCTCCGAAATGATGAAGGCAAGGGTCCAAAATGTCATCTACAATAGATAGATGAAGACAAGAATGAATTGCTGGCATTCTGAACAGCATTACACATATACAGACAGTATTTCACATAATATACAGGAAACATCTGAAGCCATCTAATAATGTATCTAAGAAAACAGAAAACCTACACAATATCCTGTATTGTTCACAGCAGCCAATCAGAATCTTCTTTTCATTATAAAACCTGCTTCCTTCAGGCAACAGAGACACATTTATGAGGCATTTTTAGGACAACTGGATTGAATTATAAAAAGGTCTTCAATAAGAACTGTCTATGATCGGGATCATCTAGGTTTGGAATGCGCTGTACCAGTGAATGGTAGACACTGCCATGTGATCGCTTTGATAACCAATGACAAGACACAGAGGTGGTCCAATCACCTTTTTTCGGGCACAGCTTCTATAGGTCACGTCCCCTAATGGTTTATCCTTTTAGAAGCAGATATGAAAGATCACCACCACCTAAAACAAAACAAAAAATGCACACCCTCTTTCTCCCACCATGGTGCTTTGGCTGAGGCCATTGATGCAGCTGCACTTACAGGGTTGGCATTGGCCTGCGATGCCCACAGCAGTAATAGACTGTAGTTAGAAGTGTCATTTCCCTTGAGAGTGTCCAGCAGATGATGTAGCAAAGTCTGCAAGAAAACATAATATGAATGTATTTATTCACCCAGATAATACAAAAATGTCACTGCAGCTTCTGATCCCTCCGAGATGATCTGCACCCATTTCACTGATAATCAGAATTGTATTTACTGTTGGAAGCAAAGCCACCGACCATACCACCAACAATTTCAGAACATTAAAGCGTCAATGAGCTTAGCAGACCCATGGGCAATAGCGGGACATAGGGCTGTGGATTATGCAATGGCTGACAACAGCAGAGGCAGCAGTGGAGTGGATGATCAAGACCGGGAGCCCTAGCGAAAGACAGTTAAACAGAGCAATGGCCAATAAAATGCAGACCGCAGGCCAATAGCACAGACCGGTACAAACAGAGATAAATGCAGTCCAATACACAGGAGAAAGCCAGTACATTGTGGACAGATATAAGTCAACCAGACCCTGCTAAAGAAGCATATGGTTGAAGCTCTGGCCTCACTAGTCAACTAAAAAAGCCAGGTGTGAAAGCTGCAGCTAGGTCTATATGTAGCAAAAGAAGGTCCAGTAGATGGCAGAGGAGATCTGCCAACTCTAGGTTTTAAATATCCCCCAGGATAGAAAAGGAGAGAACTATGCATCAGAGCAATGGGAGCGAGGTCCAGCCATGAACGGGTCATTACAAAAAGTGTAACAATTGAAATCAATACTAAATGTAATTTTATAAAACAACCACCAATATATACATATACCAGGCAAAGAACGTATCAAATATGCTTTCCACGTGGCATCATTCTCAAATCATAGCGTTCTATATAACTTCCTGACTTGGTGATGTTTATTGTCACATGTACGGTGGTTGGTCATGGACATTATCTCCGCTTAGGGTTGGACACCAGGACTCACAATGCAAACTGCAAGAATCAAGAAGTTGTTGGTCATATCAACCAGGTTTTATTTTTATTTCTTCCATCAACAACACTGTTTACACCTCACTGGTGTGAAATGGCTCTGGTACTCCCGTGAGGAGGACCCCGGTGGAACATCATCTACCCCTTACTCCGCTCTCAGGGAAAGCAGCCACAATGAAGAGCAGAGTTGTCACCTCAGGTTGTCACACATATCTAAAACTAAATAGATGAGAACATTGGATTGTATGGCCAGCTTTATAAAGGTTCTATGGAAGACTTCGTCCACATTTATTTTCATATAAGTGACCCCAGGGCAAAACTAAAATACGCACGCCAAAAAGATGCTGTGTACTTACCTTTCTGGCGGCCCGTGTATTTAAATTGTTTAGTCATCCATATACTGTTTTGAGCACTTATTTATTTCTCACATTTTATTTAATTTATACAATCTATATGTATTTATTGCACAAGTTCTATTAATATTTTTTACACCATTACTTATTATTTACATATATGCACATTATTAGGAGGTTTTTTAGCGCTATACTATTATATTAAGGATTTTCGTGAGGCTCTACAGCTTTTGTGTGGCGGCTTTGAACCTGCGATCCTTCTTTGTTTGAGTTGCTTCCATTAGCGTAGATTAACCTATTATCATTATCAGCATCAGATATATCCGTGCCTTGAACTCCTTTGTGTTATCTCTCGTCCTTGGCCATTCATTATGAAGACTTAGAAATAATTATCTTCTACGGAGTCGTCTTGTATTGACACGTCGTAAGTGGACATTAACCAATGAACATTCAGTAATTAAGATTCAAACTTGTAGCCCTGCCCTTCCTTATCAGCGGACGCCTTTGCAGTTCTAAGAAATGAATTTGTTGGATCTTCATTCCATCCTATACCAACACAGATGACATAATGAAACAGGTATACTTTGTAACATAGTAGTTCAAGGAAGTTCCACCTATACATGTCAGCTTGTTGATAGGATATTTCTTGGCAGTGCCTTATGCTCTATGGATTGTTGCTTTTTAAATTACCGAAATGATCAGAAATGACAAAAGTATTTCGATGTACTTTCTGAAATATTTGGAAATTGCTTACAAAATTGAAGGCGCCACCTGTTACAAGACTGGTATCCCCACTGCAAGATTCCTCTATTACTCTATTCATCTTCTGGTGGCAACTCACAAATTTGGGATTTACTCCTGAAGGCATAGTCTACTTTTTGTAAACAATTATTAATTGCACCCATGCAAAAATTAAAATGTATAAATATTTTGCATAGCAACCTACAAAGCATTGCAATCGTGATCAGTTGATCACAGGTGCAATGCACAGGCTGCTGCAGAGGAAGAGGAGGTAATCAATGGACTACAAGTGCTGTGATATCACCCAACTTGCGTTCCATACAGATCTACGAGTCCCTCTGCCTCAATGGTTTTTCCATTCACATATCCTGTGAATGGATCTGTGAATAGATGATGCGGGCAAAGCCACGCTCAGCCATACAAAATTTAAAAATATACAAAAAAGCTGCACGGAGGAGAACCCTGTGATGCAGGTAAGTGAGGGGGCAGCGGAATGGCACCCTGTCCCACCCAAAACATTGCACAGCCACCTTCTGTTACAAGCCGAGTTATTTCGACTCCCCGTCATTGTCCTTGAGACCACAGAGATGATGTTGAGCCTGTACAAAGCAATGACAGGCTGACAGCAGATATGCAATGGTGTTCAGATATAACTGTACATGGAGCCATTACCTGGGGTTATCTCCGCTGGGCGCAAAAGTAACAAAGCCGCTCTGCGGTTTCTTTGTCCTGACGTTGGCCCGCCTATTAAATTGAATTGTTTTCTCTGCTGTCAATCAATTGTAGCCGCATTATGTCGGGGACGTGCCAATTCTTTTTCCGCGACATTGGTGGGCGTGGTTTAGTGTGTTATACTTACTAGGTGGGCGTTAGCAGCATAGGTGGACTGTAAGCAGGAAAACTCCATCCGGGAATGCCTGCTGCTTGTCAATCATTGCCATTGCCTAGCAGCACAGTGACGTTGTCAGGTGGGCATGGATACCCAATATAAATTGAACAATCATTGTTTAAATACACGTGTGCACCCTACGGGTGCGTTTGCATCCACATGGGTGTGTGCAGCATGACGGCGGTGCTTTTATCTTTTTAAAAAAATGTTATTTGATTAGTTTTTTTACTGCCTGCTATTTGCTGACAGGGCAGAGCCGTGCTGCAGCTGGAAAAGACGATATTCACCCCAAAGTCTGACAGGCAGCTGGCTCTGCCTCTCTAGAGCCAGCTGTGCCCACCCCCTCCTCTGTCTGTACCTCCAAAGCGTGCTGGAGGAGCAGAGGGGGGAGTGGGGAGTCCCAGCTGGATAGTTCGAGAACTGACTGTGAGTGAGTTCCCGAAATATAGAGTCAGCATGTGATGCCTGCAGTGTTCCCCACTGGCACTAACTATTGGGAAGAGTACATTTTACATTGGGCAAAAGACTGGTACTCTTTATGGAGACATCAAGGGGTCTGTTAGACCCCTAATGTCTCTTCTGCTCACTGCTACAGCTGATCAAGCACAGGCTGTGCACACTCAGCTGCATACGCGGCTTTGCAGCCGGGATTTTGAAAACTCTGAACCTGTAAATGCTCGGAGCTGGGCACTTCCAGATTCACAATGTGCAGAGGACTTTGGGGAATGCATGTTCCTTGATATCCTCCTACTTGCTATCCTGACAGTGCCTATTGTGGTGCCGGGAGAGCCCAGGAACCACGGAGCGTGGGGGGTCTGGTGGTGGTTGGGATTGTGGCACCCCACAAGTCGCGTAAAAGTGATCTGGTGGCTCTACAGCCACCCAGATCATGTTTTCTGAAGAAAGCCCTCAGCTGGTTGAACCCACGAAAGAAAAAAAAAAAAAAAAGCCCAGTTTTTTTTTTTAATACACGGGATTTTTTCTTACCTCCTCATTGGAGAAATTTCCATTTACTTCATGTACTGTACAGGGGTCAGAGGAACAGGAAGTGAGGGAAAATCTCTCCAACCGGTTGTTAGGAATATCCCATCACACTTCTGACCCATGTCACCTTGAAGAAGTTGCAGAGGGTGCTGTAGTGACCAGCGGATGGCACCGCATAGAACAAAGAAGACAGTAAAGTCACCAGCACACCAAAGTCCACCTTATAGATCTGCCTTTATTGACGTTGGATAAACATGGTATCACAAGGAAACACAACGTTTCGGAACCACATTCTCTTCCTTCATCAGGCATTCATGGTGTGCTCATGATCATCACAGCGTTTTGCCTGATGAAGGAACCCCATGTGGTTTAAAAATGCAGCATGTGGTTCCGAAAGGTTGTGTTTCCTTGTGACACCATGTTTATCTGATGTCAATATAGAGGGATCGATAAGGTGGACTTTGGTGTGCTGGTGACTTTACTGTCTTCATCTCTCCAATGCAGACACAGAGAGCCATTATTAACCGGCAGATATAGAAGCCCTTCCCCACCCTATGCAAATGTGAGCAAAAAAAATGGTTTTGGCTGGAGCGCTACTTTAAATGTTTGAAAGGCGGAGTCTACCTTAGCGCTGTCTTCAGACGGATTACTTTCTTCCTCTTTAGGGATAATGTTTTTAAACAATTTTAGCAGCCACTGTTTGGACAGAGACCAGTCTCTGAAAGACAGAACAGGAGAGATCAGATAACACAGTCAGCGCCAAATTCTGCTCTTTATACTTAGCATGGTGTGAAACAGATACACTGAGAGAGGTTGACTCAGAATAATGATCTACATCATCGGATTCCCTGAATTAATCGCGTCTTATTTATCAAAGTCAATGTTGTTATGGTGTATTACCCAGCAAGGTGAACAGAACATGCCAGCTCATAGGCTGATTCATTGGGTGGCCAGAAATGTCATCCTTGGCAAATACGAGATCTGCAATCTTTGGTATGTAATGAGGAACAAAGAATATCGAGGTTTCGCGCTGTGGAACAACCCTAATATATAAGCTGCTGTGCTAGAAGTATAACAACACTGACAATATATACACTTTATAATGTTTAATGAGGAGCAAAGTGTAATAATCTATTTGAATAGGAAGATGGAGCTCAGCTGCGGATACACGTTAACAGTCACGTGCTCTAGCGCAGGAGTACGTGATGGCAAGGTTTAATATTGCCAAGCAAGCTCAGTGCATCATCGGTCTATCTTCCAACCTAACTAAGCTTACTACTCCTACAATAGTTGCTATTAAGGTATGCAGCAAATATGGGGTTGTCTCTAGGACCAATGGCGGGAGTGATAGGCTTCACTAATGTTACTTCACACCGGAATGCACTTCTGTGGTAGTTATGTTCGATTCACACAACCCCAATACTTGGTTCTCCCAATCTGTTGTATCCCAAAGAACCTGTTGTTTGTGTAACTTTATATGTTCACTTCACATATGTTAAACACACAGTATCACAGTTCATCAAGGTAGGTATGAATTAAGTGTTCCACAAAATCAGTGTAATCTTAGTAGTTCAGACAATATCTTTAGTCACCAGCAGAGGGCAGGCTCCCCTTATCTTCAATGCAACAGTACATACGAATCCACAGTAACTATAGCAGACAGTTGAATTCCCTGTGGGTAGCAACCCAGAGGGGAATACTTGCGGTTTAGGAGTCTGGAAGGTTGAGTGGGAGTAATGCTGGTCACGCTAGCGCAGAGATCCCGAGGAGCTTGTCAGCTGGGGTTCAGCTGTCGAGTGGTTGAAGCTGTGGAAGGTTGCGGTGGAAGTAGTGGCATGCAGTGAGACCGGCACTCGTCTGGCGTCCGCATAGGGTTGCTGGAACGCCAGACAGGTGGGAGATTGAGGCTTATGACGAGGCCGGAGGCGGTCTCGTATGACGTCGTCGGCCCGGGGGCGGAGCTTCCACTCGGTTCCGTGAGTCGGAACGGCGGCGTCCCCGGGATCCATTACACAAAGCTGAGCGAGGATAGCCGCAGCAGTGATGCACAAAAGTGGAGATCTGATTGGTAGACAGGTAAGCTGCGGAAAAAATTGGTTTGGTTCAGATATTCCGTTATATCGGGATTCGGATTTGGATGATATATTCGTTGCGAATACCACAGATATCCATATACAGATATTAAAGTGACATTAAACCCTCAGATTTTTTAACATAAAATGTGTGCCAAGTGTACTGAGATGCCGCAGCTGAAGCGGATCCTGACAATTGTGCCAGGATCAGCCCAGCTGCGTGACTGACAGCTGACTCTACCTATCTACAGGCAGAGCCAGCTGTACCCGCCCCCTCCCCCGTCCGTTACGCCAGTCAGCGCTGGCAGATCGGAGCGGGAAGGGGGGAATCCAGCCCCTCCCCTGTCACGGCAGAGAGCCGGGACAGGATCGAGAGGTGAGTGAACGCCGGTATGTGTTCGCTCACCTCCCGATCTACTGAGCCGACCTGTGACAGTCTCATTGTCACAGGTCGGCTAGAACTATGAGGTGAGTGAAAAGCACTCCCCTCATAGTTCTCCATTAATACTAAAGCTGAATCTCCCATACTATATTTTCAAGTTATGAATGATCAGGAACACTCAGTATAGAGGATTCCTGTTCATTGATAACAGGGGATGCAGAAAAAGGAGATTGAGGACTCTGTGTGTGTCTGAGGACTTTGTGTCCTCAATCTCTTTTTCTATTTTAAAAGGGAAATATCAGGAGTCTGTTTAGACCCCCAATATTTCCCCGAAGCCCCTAAAAGTAAAAAAAATAAAATATTATAAAAGTAAACGTGAGGCTCCCAGACCTGAATGGCAATTCGAAAATTCGGATTCAGACCCATTTCGGATGCATTAAACCGAAAAACACATCTGATTGGCCAGACAAGTCACATGTCCGATTCAATTTAGTTTTTGAACAAAATTCGGACAGGATCCGAAATTCGGAAACGGAAATTCGGATGCGTTGGGATTCGGATGTGTCCAAATCTTTGAATTTTGATTCGGAACGAAGAGAATGGCACATGTCTACTGATTGGCTGGCTCTGCTTGAATGCCACACCTGCCACTGTCACAATACAGTAGCCTTGCAGCAGATTCGCAGATTCCCCCGTCTGTGCTGTTTAGCATGGATTGGGAACCAAGCTTTTTTTTCCTCGACGGCTAGAGTATGGCCAGAAGTACTCAATCCACAGACAGCTTGTCATTTTCACGGTTCACTGAGCTTGTAAAGAAAACTGTATTACAGCTTAGTAGCACACAAAATGGGGGCTATGTAGGACCCTGCAAGGGAAAGGAGCCACCCTAAAACAGGAAAAGGAGATCAGGGCCAGTGCTCAGGGGACCAGCTGATTCTGTTGGAAGATAAAACTTAAATACCAAGAAGCAGCATCCATTGTAAGAGATTTAACCAGCATTTAGCCTGAAAACCCTTTGATTTTAATATCACTTTACAACAGAAATAAGAGTCTGGGCAAATGCATCATAAATCAGCCTTATTGAAACTGCTGGTTAGCCATCCCATGGGCTTGCTGGTATCTCATCAAGGAGCAGAGCTCTTCTGGTTTGCAATAGCTGAACAAATGTTTTGAGACCCTCAGTGGTGATGCCCATCCAGAGCACAGGGACTGCACAGAAAGGACTTCTCCCATCTGCTGTTCCAGACACATGGCTACCTTCACCCCACTGCTATACACTGACACTGACTGCCAACTGCTCGCCACTCCAACTACAGTCAGGATATCACTGCACCAATGTACCAAGCTTTCCCACCAGGAGTATTGAAGACCTCTGACCAAATACATAGCTCCCCAACTGTTATTTGAAGGGACTGTTCCTCTTTAGAAGCCATAGCCTTCTTTCCTGCTCAGATATCCCTTTTTTTGGTCTGATGTATACAGCTATACTAAAGAAATGTATTATACGCACTTCTGCCTTGCAGCACTGGGGGTCCCCGTTTGGAATCCTGGCCAGGACACTATCTGCATGGAGTTTGCATGTTCTACCTGTGTTGTGTGGTTTCCTCCTGAACTCCAAAAACATGCTGATAGGTTAACTGGCTCCTTTCTAAATTGGTCCTACTATGTGTGCATATGGAGACTTTACACACTAACATGCTCCTCACACACCATCTGAATAATTCCTAAAATCAGCAGCTAGGAATGCTAATAAACCTCCAGGCACAGAAAACAGCACATTGGGTGGAGCTGGGAAGGACCTAGCTGTCATAGTGCATATTGGTACAAAGTAGGGATGCACCGATACCAGTTCAGAGACCAGTGCCTATATTTGGCATTTTCATGAGAACTACCAGGGTGGCAGCGGTTGCAGCTGGGACCTGGCTCTGGCGCTCCACCACTGCCCTGATATCATTAGTTTGTATTGTTTTAGAAAAACTGTCACATGACAATAAACAAAATGTATCAGTACTTGTATCTGTGAGTACTGGGGCAAGTATCAGTACTTGTATCTGTGAGTACTTGGGCAAGTATCAGTACTTGTACTCGCAAAAATGGTATTGGTGCATCACTTATATTTATATTTATAAAAACAAAATCGAACATTAACACAGAGATGTACAAATCCCAGGAGCTCCGTGTGCTCCTTACACATGACAGATGCCTCCTAACTTTTGAATTTCTCTCTAGTCTAGTCTTGGAGCTGGAAAAGTATATGTACTTGTACCGTGTGCTGTACTTGGTATCGGTGCATCCCTAGCACAAAGTAAAAAGTTCAACGAAGATGGAGCTTCTATTTCAGGGAATTAGGCCCCAAGGTGAACAAATGGACCCCCAAGGTAGCATTTTCTAAAATACTGCCAGTGCTCTGAGCCACACTAGAGAGGCAGTGGGAGCTTAGGGGGCCGAACAAGTGGATGAAAAGTTGGTGGAAAAAGGAGGGTTTTGGTTTCATGGAGAACTGGGCTGACTTTGTGGGCTACCGGCTCTACTGCGGGAACAGACGGCAACTTAATGGGAAGGGTATAGCTCTGTTGTGGGAGGAAATGGGTAGAACATTGGAGAAGCCTTTAAACTAGGATCTGGGGTGGGAGGGACCCCAGGAGAATTTAACATACTGTGGGTATGAAACAGTACAGGAGTAGAGGTGGGTATCCAAATTTATACACTCTTTGGGAGGCACTGGGTTGAAAGGAGAGGTGGAGGAGTATACCTATATGTCAAGAGTAATATGAAGGTGAGAAAGAAGAGATCAGCATTAAGGGTTGTGGTGGAGCGTAGTCCACATAGCTGGAGCTGCACGCGAGTGCTACATACAGCAAGTTAGTTATAGTAGTATGTTATAGACCACCCAGCATTAAGGCTGAGAGGAATCTACTACTCACAAACAGAATTAGCTGGGAAACAGGGTAATGTGATTACTATGGGGGACTTCAACAACCCAGACATTGATTAGATAAATATTACCACACATTCAACTAAGGCTTCCTGAACCCACTACATGATAATTTTATAGGACACACGGTAGATCTGCTGATTTGTAATAAAACAGAGATAGTTCCTAATGTGCAAATTCGTGACATCTTAGGCAATAGTGACCACAATGTTTGCCGTATGATACAGGAGAGAGAAACATGTGGGTACCAACTTCAACAAGCTGACCTCTGTACTAGGCTGTCACGGATCGGAACTCACGGGTATGAACTGGAGTCTGGTATGTGGACCCTTTCAACTACACTGGCAGGGACCCTCAGAGAAAAGGGTCCAAGTAGTGTAGGCTGATGACTCCCAGAGCTGGAGTACAAGCAGGGAAACTGAATGAGGCAGTGGAAGTCAGCTAAAGCTGGAAGTTCAAGGGTGCTGCAATGCGGAGTAGGTGGCATGGGATGCTGATTAGGTGGCAGGGGTTCCCCAGGATGTGGAATCTAAGAGCCAGCCGGTATTCGCCAGAGCTCCTGATAGTGGAGATGGGCTTGGCTGCGTGCTGACCTGAGGTCACAATCCCTAGGTCCACCCAACTCACCTAACAGGTACAAGGTACAAATCAAAGGTTAGGGACAGGCTGAAGACTTCCAGGGACCAAGCAAAGTACAGCGTAGACTGTAGACAGGGATTTCCAAGGACAAAAGGGAAGCACAGGGCAGGCAGTAGACAGGGATTTCCAAGGACAAAAGGGAAGCACAGGGCAGCCAGTAGATAGGGATTTCCAAAGACAAGCCAAAGGTTCGGTACACGGGAAAACTTCCAGGAATTCAGGGTAAATCACAAATGGGGGATTCGGCAACTAGCTTAGAAAAGCGTTGCTCGGCCCTGTGCCGTTCACTGCCATGGGTTTAAATAGAGACAGGAAGAGGGAGGATCCACAGGATTGGCCACAAGGGGACTGCACTGATTGGCCGAGAAGCTGCATAAGAAACAGGAGGAGGTCGGCCGACGCCTAAAGCTTGCAGACAGGTGCAAGAGTGAGTCAGCTTTAGAGCACATGCCTGGAGGACTACAACCACCAGCACAGCCCTGTATGCCTGCAGAACCAGGGGTACGAGATATGTATATACTTGAACTACAAGTAACAGCTCAGCTGCATGTCTGCAGCTAAACTGTGACATAGGCGAGTGCTTTAGGGTGTGTTATATAATGGCTTTCCCCATTGCATTCCCCTGAAGGCAAATATAGAAGAACAAAAAGTAAACCTATGTGGCCCAATGCCAGTCTTGATAGGCAAGTAAAGAAGAAAAGGCTGGCCTTCAAAAATTACAAAATGGAACAGATAGCATTGGCATTTAAGGGTTATAGAGGCAACCACCTAAAATTGGTAGAGAAAAAATGTATCTGCAAAGGGCGTAGGGGCTTCTTCTCAGTCAGAGTGGTTAGATTTTGGAACTCGATGCCACAAGCAGTGATATCAGCTGAGAATATTGAATCATTCAAAAATCAAATAGATACCTTCCTCAGAGACCGTAACATACAGGGGTACAGGTACTCTTAAATCCTTAGACACCCCCCCAAGGACCTCATACACTTACACATAAAGGTTGAACTTGATGGACCTGTGTCTTTATTCAACCTCAAATACTATGTAACTATGTAAGGAATGCAACAATGAGCTGCTAAAATTGATTACGAGAAGAACATTACTTCAGAAAGCAAAAAAAAAAAAAACTAAACAAAAAACACAACATATGTTATAAATATATGAGTAGTAAAACAATTATGTAGGCCCAAGTAGGCTCATAAAGGAAGATTATGGGGCTTTAGTCACAAATGACTTGGAAAAGGTTATAATGTGTTAAACTATTTTTTTCATCAGTATACACACACACACACACACACACACACACACACACACACGAAGGATTTATTATAAGAGAGGGAGTAATAATGCTAACAGCAGAGCAAGAGATGCACATGCAAATGGGGTCCAAAATAGGCTAGAATAGCAAAAGAGAAACAAGTAACAAGGTCCTGATGGCTTACACCCATGGGTCTTAAGGAGCTTAGCTTGGTAATAGCCAAGCCACTCTTCCTGATTTTTAATGACTCCTTAATGATTGGAATTATATCAATGGATTGGTGTAAAGCAAATGTGGTGCCAATATTTAACAAAGGGTCTAGATGTACATTTATACCAGGAAACTACAAAGCAGCCAGAGAGAATGCTAAGGCACTCCACTGAAGATTTTATTACCAAAAGCCACATTATAAGTAACAATTAACATGGACCACTCTTGTTAGACCAACCTGTTAATGTTCTATGAGCAAGTAAGTGGTAACCTAGATAGTACAAGGGCCGTAGACCTAATTTATCTAGATTTAACAAAGGTATTTGAGATCTTGCCCCAGAAAAGCCTGATTTATAAACCAAGATCCAATAGGGTGAAGACAAATATATATACATAGATAGAAAGCTGGCTTCAAGAATGGGTTCACAGGGTAATGGCAACTGACTCTGAGTGGGCTAAGGTTGCGAGTGGTGGGACCCAGCATTCTGTCTTGCCGTTTTAACTGGTTTATAAGCAACACTGAGGTTGGAATAAAGAGTTAAATTTTTGTTTTTGCAGATGATACCAATCTATGAACAGGATGTAGTAACAGTACAGGAAGGCCTGGATAAAATAGGGTATGGGTGAAGACTTGTCAGATAAGGTTCAATTTTGTATGTTCCCTGGCTCCATCTAGTGGCAGGATATATAAATCATCCCCAATGACATCATTGTAGCATGCAAATAGTGTGAATGGCCCCTCAGTATAACTGGGCTAAAAGTGCAGCTACAAGTTTCCTATTGTCAGTTAGTTCTAACTGGGCTAAATGTGAGAGTTTGTAATTAAAGCTCTTAAAGTATAGTCAATACTTTTATTGTTTGCTTTGGATGGAGTAGTGAAGGTTTAACCCCCCCCCCCCTAAAAAAAACAGAATTACCCTTTTAAACAGTTAGTGGAAGGGTTAACCCCCCCCCCCCTAAAAAAAACAGAATTACCCTCTTAAGCAGTTGTCTAAGGGGTGTCCCCATTTTAATATCTACTCTCCCCTCTTGGTCTGAAAACAACCCTTTCAATTTTGGCTTTTCCCTCACTGTTTATCTCAGTGATGGTCACCGGTGCAAACAGAGGGGTGAATCTCTCCTTTAGGGGCACAGACATAAAAAAATGTTTTAAAAAACTTGACAGACGGTCAAAGCCGACTCTTTCCAAAAGTCAGTTGTAAAACGTTTTGCCGTCACATCCATTTTAACGCTTGGCGGCCTTTTGGCTAAGATCAAGTGTAGTATCTGTTCTTATCAGTTTTCGGTGGGGAAAAGACCGTCCTTGCGGGGGATGGATCTTAGTACTTGCTGGAGTGAAAGATCGTGCTGGGCTGCTTCCTGTGAGAGGGGAACAGCCCGGTACAGGCTTTCTGACTGAACAGATGCGAAGCTTGGCCTGGCTGGGGGGTTGGGGGCGGCAGAAGCACGTGGTGTTGTGCCCCCTGGGGGTGGCATCCCAGGGGTGTATCAGAAAATCACTAGGGTGTGGGACCCCACAAGTGATTCACTGTGCACTATGTTTACGATGCACGTTCCACGGGCTTAAAAAAAAAAATCAATTTTAACACTTATAGCCATAGAAGTTCTTACTTGAAAAACCACTCTGGGAGCTGCGAGCCGTACTCAAATCCTTCATCAAAAGTGCGGAAATGCTCTTCAAATTCCTTTATTGTGTCCTTGGAGGTAGGGCACACTCCTTTGCCGAACAGGTTGTCCACCACAGCGGGGTACATGACTCGCCTGCCAATGAGAACGAGAGAAAGAGACAACCAAGTTTTGTACGGCTTCTCTTTATCCTTCATGATTTGTTCAATAAACAATGAAAGGAACCAAAAACACTATCCACACTGACCAATCACAATTCACTCTGCTAAAATCAGACCAGCACAACATGGACACCCAACTGGTTACTAAGGGTGATACAGTGGTACCTCGGTTCATGAACGCTTCTGTTCACGAACAATTCTGTTTGCGAACAGGAAGTTCGGCAAAATTTTGCTTCCGTTCACGAACTCTGCTTTGGGTGACGAGCACAACCGCAGCCGTTTTCCCTGCTCTGATACATGGTCATGGCTTCCTCTAGTCGAGATCGCAGACTGATCACAGTTTGATTCGGTTCACGACCAAAATCGGTTCGCAACCAGAATCGCGAAACGAATTAAGTTCGTGAACCGAGGTACCAGTGTACATCTTCCACTTTGTGGATTCTGCATCACCAGCTTAAAGCTGAACTCTGTGACTACCCTTGGGGTGCAATCTACCCTTGCACCCCTTACATTGGTGGTAGGGAATAGGGATGCATTGATATCGATACTAATATTGGTTCCGTTACCCAGTATTTGGGTTAGTACTCGTACCTGCCCAAATGCTCCGATACTTACCCCCGATACCGGAACTTCCGGTTCCTCTGACCGGCAGTGCGACAAGGGAACATGGAGCCAGATTCCTGGCCAATCAGGAAGCTAGGGGGCGGGTAATGACTCACCGCCTGGCTTCCTGATTGGCCCTGGAAACCAGCTCCATGCTGTTTGGCTGGCTCAATGCTGATTGGCTGGGAAGTGGAACTCTGGTAAAGAAAGGCTGCTTTACACAAAACACATCATACTGACTTACACAACAGATCATGGAGCATCTCATGGCTTTGTCTAAGATGGGAGGACTTTGTCTGTTTTGTGGGTGAGGCTTAAAGTGTATTCCTATTGAGGAGAAATCTCCCATAAGGACACAAGCAGAAATAAAAGGCTAACAGAAATCCTAGCCTTCCCCTACACTTCCTAATAAAAATAGTTTTTATTGACATTATGTCCCTGAAAATTATTTCCTCCCACTCTCTGTCCTGACCACAATGCTCTTGCAGGCACAGGAAGCAAGAAAAATCTCCCTAATGGGGACCCATTCGACCAAAGGAATTCCAACAGTCCCCTTCATCACCGTGTAGTCCACCTGCATGGCATTAAGAAGCTGATATCTTTTGAATGGGCAGCAACTACAATGTTGCATGGCTCATGGGGAAGAGCAAAAAAAAAAAAGGAAAATGAATCATTTCCTTCCTTATGTAATATCCCAGGTAATGTATAGTCCTGTCAATGGCCTATATGTATCTAAAAAGGAGGTCTGTGACTCTACAAGCTCAACCAACTTGTGGTCTCAAATATGTATACAGGTCACAGACCCAAATATAGATCTATAGGTTAAAAAAAAAAAAATCAAAGAAGGGAGCAGACTTGATGGGCCACGTGGCCTTCTTCTGCCATCACTCGTCTCTGTAGAACATCTTGTTACCTTCATATAGAAGGTACATGATCCTCCGTACCTGTAACGTTGGGTTAGTGCTCTTACCTCACCAGGTTGTGGAGGTCCTCGGTGCCCTGAGAGCTCAGCTGGTCCAGATGTAAGGTAAACTCATTGTACAATCGGGTTATATACGCATCGAGTTTGTTATGCGACAGCCTAAACATCATCATCTTCATGATCTCCTCGTGGGACTTGTAGAAGCTTTTCTCACTAATGGACGCTGTTTGTGGATTGGATAGACAGGGCAAAAGATGAGTTGCCTGAACAGTAAAATCACAATTAGAGAATGACAAAGAATGGTGAAAATCACAAGAAAACCCTCAAAACTCTTATTATTAGAGCAGACCTATGCTGTAACTTGTGGACCTCCCATTCAAAAATTAACTTTTTTGGATTGAGAGGTGAAACGGTGGAAATTCTGTCGGGTGCATATTGCTGAAACAAGTAGAGGTGAGGTGCTGGATTCAAATATTCAGAAGATCGGTGAGAATATGATAAAGGAATTTTCATTTTTTTTAAAAACTTTTTTACATTTTTATTTATCTTATTGTTTAGTTTTTTATAATTTTTTTATCGTATTATTGTTTATTTTTAATAATTTGTTTCTTATTATGTTTTACTTTTTAATCACAGGCTTCCTCACACTACGTTTAGTCCTGCTTGTGCAAAGCAGGACTAAATGTAGAAAGCGCAACTTACCACCCTGCGCCCGGAACTTCCCCACAAGGACACTGCTGCCGCCCCTCTGCGCCCTGCCGCCCCGAGGCCGGGCCTCGGTGGCCTTGTGGGGAATCCGGCCCTGCATGTCCCTCAAACAAGAGAACACAGAATTGAATTTTGGACTGGCTGGTTTGGCGCTCTCCTTGGACTCCTTATACAGGTGCTTACTGCGGTCTGGGCCCCCATTACCAGCCTATTGCAACCTGGGCCCCTGTGCTTGAGTGGGTTTCCTTTGGGTACTCCAGTTTCCTCCCACATGCCAAAGACATTCTGGTAAGTTAGTTGGCTCTAAATTGGCCCTATTATGATATTATGCTGATTGTGCCCAAGATGGCTGCCTCAGCGCCTATCAGTCCCAGTCTGAGCACCCTGACTTGTATATATCTGGACCTGATCTGAACACCCTGACTTGTATATCTGGACCTGATCTGAACACCCTGACTTGTATATCTGGACCTGATCTGAACACCCTGACTTGTATATCTGGACCTGATCTGAACAACCTGACTTGTATATCTGGACCTGATCTGAGCATCCTGACTTGTATATCTGGACCTTATCTGAGCATCCTGACCTGTATATCTTGACCGGATCTGAGCATACTGACCTATATATCTGGACCTGATCTAAACACCCTGACTTGTATATCTGGACCTTGTCTGAGCATCCTGACCTGTATATTTGGACCTGATCTGAACATCCTGACCTGTATATTTGGACCTGTTCGGAGTATCCTGACCTGTATATTTGGACCTGATCTGAGCATCCTGACTTGTATACTTGGACCTGATCTAAACACCCTCACTTGTATACCTGGACCTGATCTGAGTATCCTGACCTGTATATTTGGACCTGATCCGAGTATCCTGACCTGTATAGTTGGACCTGACCAGAGTATCCTGACCTGTATATCTGGACCTGATCCGAGCATCCTAACCTGTATATCTGGACCTGATCCGAGCATCCTGACCTGTATAGCTGATATATGGCTTCATTACTAGAGAGTTTATTGCTATTTTAAGCTTTTAGGTTCTGTTGGTGATTACCTGTGTGCTGGACGGGTTTTTGCACAGCCTGAGGAAAGCTCACTTGCTTGGATTTGAAGAAGGCAGACACTCCTTCATCCCCACTGAGAAAGGTCAGCCTGTTGCCTGCAGCCATTATAGTAAAGACTGGTCCATGCTGAAAGACATTGTGGAAATGCTTCATGAAACCTGTGATACACTTATTGACTCAAACAAAGCACCTAAATGCACGCCTATTACCGTTTCATATCCGCCTGGATGAACTGGGGAATATGTTTCCTCTACACATAGAAATATATTCCTACTACTTAATCCTTTTCTTGATTAAAAATTGATTTACAGCTTGATTAGGGTTGCCACCTGTCCGGGATTCACCCGGACTGTCCGAGTTTTGAATGCTGTGTTCGGGTTTCATGGCAGCAGGAACCCGGACACAAGATGTCAGGCAGACAGGGGCAACCAAAATTAACATAGGGGCTACTGGCCCCCCACTGAAAATAGTCTCAACTGTGATATTTACATATAAATAGATGACACTATTTACATGTGAATAAGCCGCCACTCATTCTTCCCCAAAAAAATATCTGTCTGTTGCTAGAGTGTTCGTGTTTCACCTGAAGAAAAGGTGGCAACCCTAAGCTTGATGTGTTTTTTTTCTCTTTGTCAAATTAACCAATAAAAAGAAGCATGCCCAATGAATTCATCAGAAATGAACAAACCGATCCAAAGCTGCATGAAGCCTGTCCATTGTACAGAAGATATGACAACTTCATTTATTAGAAGCTTAAGAAAAGAAAACACTGGATTTGTGAAGGTGCATCCCCTGGGACTATGAACTTTTACAATGTCTTCTTATTAGAATCAGACCCGTGGCCCTGTAAGCCTGGCACAAGTCCAGCACAATCAGAGATATCAGTTAACTTAACTAAAGATAAAGTTGCTTACTTTGGTCAGGATTCTGCATGAGCCAGTAGGATAGAGGCAGCTTACAGTCATTCCATAATAATCCATTTACCTTTTCCCTGTGGAAAGCAGCTGTGCAGTCTCAGGTGGACAGCTTGGGCTTTAGAGAAAGTTCAACTATATTGATCCCAGCCCCACTGGGGCTGCGTACTAGTCACACACAGCACCTGTCCTTCCCGGGAGCTGCCCGATACAACCGTGCACGCAGCACGGAGCTGTACGTGCCGGCCTTTTTTCGTGTGAATGAGGCCTTATGAGTGCATTGGGATCTCCATAGAATCCACTTCAAAGTGCACGCTGTGGCCAAGGAGGTCCATTACTTACCAGTGACGGGCAGTGTGCAGGTATGCCTTTCAGAATATGGAGTACTAAGAAGAACCAGCTAGAGCTGCAGTCTGGAAAGCATTGCTTGGCCTGGGCAAACTGGGCAATGTCAGGTTATAGTCTTATGTAAAAGTGATGATGAAGTCCTAGATCATGGGTAGGCAACCTTGGCACTCCAGCTGTGGTGAAACTAGACATACCGTCATGCCTCCTTATCTGGGAGCCATGTCTGTTGCTGCCGGGGTCTTGAAATGCCAATGGAACATGTAGCTTCATCACAGCTGGAGTGCCGAGGTTGCCTACCCCATCTTAGATAGATGGGGGTGCTGTGCTTGAGACAAACTTTGCCAAAAATGACCTTCTCTGTTTTGGCTGGAGCAAAGCATGCGGAGCTTGGCTCTTTAGCCGAGTGCCTGTTATCCTTGACTTACTGTAAGTATATTCTGATATTTCTATGGAGAGCCCACTAGAGAGAGTGCAGAGCTTAGGAAGTTCACATTGGGAATATATTAGGGAGGCTGGCTGGTGACAGCACTCACTTAGCTGAAACCTCTCTTTCATGCCCAAGTTTATGATAAGCAGGATCTCCATGCTGAGAAGAGCAGTAAAGACCTGGATAGGTATGAACCCTGGCTGACTTCAGAATAGGAAAACAAACTGAAAACCGCTCAAGCTGTGTACCCCTAATTGACCCTACAAGTTGTTGGACCACAGAATATCTAGTTTCTATGTTGTAGACATAAGAAAAGAGGAAGGGTTTGAATTGTTTAGCAAAAGATACATGGGCAGGGCTGACACTATTCAGTCCATGGGTGATGTGCTTGAGTTCCATTCGCTTGAAAATTTAGCAAATTTTGGGCATCTTGAAAATCAATTCTTTACATTTTCAAGGCTAATAGGCAGGGGA